GCTTGTGATACTTGTCTCCTAATTCTCCCAAACAAAGATGTGTGCACCTAAGAAGGAAAAGGAGCATGCTGTACTGTTTTTCCTCTTTAATTTCATGCCCCAATTTGCGTGAGCTTGCCATGCTCTGAAGCATCTAGATGAGGGTGCTCTGATGTATAAATAGATCTTAATGGATGATGTGGTTTACCTCTGAGGATGTTCGTTTTTTCTCTCCCAAGTACTCCTGGCATCTGCAGTGTCATTGCTCTGGAGCAAAAGGGTAATGAGTCTCATCTGTGAGTGTGCTTCCTTTGTACCGCAGAGCTGAAGAGGAGGTTCCTCTTGGGCTTGCTTAGCAGCATTTAGCGAAAGAGGCCCAGAGATTCCTACAAAAACAATTTCTGGGGGAGGAGGGGTTCAGTCCTCTGTAAAATTAGATTAGTAGCTCACATGGGGGCGGGGCAGCTGATTCTTCCCTATTTCCTCTTTGTGTGCTGACTAGACTGAATTTAGGCTAACTAATATTTAATTTTGCTCCGATTAGAAGCAGACAGGGTTTAGGCTTTGTGTACTGTAGTGCAGCTGTGGACTAGGTAAAACCCACAGAACGTATTGCTTCTCTCAGGTTTTATGTTGCTGCAGCATGACAACCCACAAGGGCCAGTTGTTCAGGGATGCAGGGGAACTTCTTTCAGAAAAAAAATGTTGATGAGCCAGATTCAGCCTCAGGCCTTATTCCACATTTGAATAGCCTAGTGCACACCACAACCTCTTATGTACATTTTAGAAGAGTGTAGATCATAATTATGACATGGTAGAATGAACACAGGGAACTGGTTCATTACTGAAGCACACATGTGAAAACACTGTAAGCCGGGAACCTGCAGTTGATTTGCACATTGATGTTTGCATTAGAACTATTTAGTGTTTCAGGTTTTAATTCTACCTTGAGCATGAGAGAAGGGCAATGCACAAATGATTTAAGTAAATAGTTAAATAGCCCTGCAAACATGTGGCATGGCTTCATTTCATTTAAAAAGCAAAGCCAGCCCCTGTAGTCCTCAGATTTGTACGGTATCCAGTTTTCTACTGTATGTTCCAGTAAATGCCCATGCACTAGAATCGGGGTTGACAGTGTCTAGGCACCAGTTCTGTTTTTTAGTTCGTTGCTGTGTCACATTAACGGTGTGTACCCATCACAAAAGTCCCTGCTACAGGCCTGGGACCAAGAGTGGTGACCGAGTGCCCTGGAAATTTCAGCACAATATATATTGCAAAATGTAACATCTCTCTGTAGCCTTTGGTTCTTATACTGTTAAGTTTTGCAGGTTATGCTGAAAGTGAGAGGGTTAAGTTTTTTTTTTGGGGGGGGGAATAGAAGGTGGGACCATCAGGTGGGATCTGTATGCTACACAGACAAACTTTGCACATTACGAAGTGCAGAACAATTAGGGAGGTACAGAAAATTCCTCTGAATTGCATTATTATATAATGCAATATGGTGGGCACTAATTATGCACTGGAATATCTTTTGTGAAACTTCTTTTTATAGCTTGCTGCTTCCCACACATTGTGCTAAAAAAGAGAGAGCCTGCTATGATGTTAGTAATTAAGAACGATGCCTACTTTCAATTTTGACATGCTTCTGGAAGATTTAACTATCACATTGATGGTGATGTTGCACACTTGTTTGGTAGCAATTACATTGCCCCACAATAAGGATGCTATTAAAGCCTTTTGAATAGCTTATATCTTGCAGATTGGCTTTTTATTTCTCAACAGTTATTTATGGCATGGTATTTGACAACAAAAAGTGTCAGTAGCAATTGCTTGGCTGGGAAAACAATTTATGTTTATTTGAGGCTCTGGTTCACAAAACTGTTTTGTTACTCGTCCTAGAAATTCACAAAACCCTGGAATTCTAGCACAAAGGGGTTGCAGATAATAGTGATATGTTGTTTTATCTGTATATTGTTTTGCTGAGATTGAAGCCTCACACCAGCCTTTGCCAAGCTGGTGCCCTCCAACTGCTCAGGGCTGGGTTGGGTGGGAACAATAGTCTAAAACAGCTGAAAGGCACCAAATTAGCAAAAGTGGGGAGAGATCTCAGTAGATTAGGATGTTAAGGGATGGGGAACTTCATAGATAGGTATCCGGAGGACTAATACAATGGACTGAGAGAGCATCCCAAGGGAAGGTAGGCAGTGGAAGAGAACAGAGGTTACAAGGGGTTGTGAAAAGAGAGTGCGAATGAAAGAGAGGTTCTGGGGAGAAAAAAGACCCTCACAATGTCTTAAGGCCAAGAGAGGCTCCATTCTGTGGCTGGTATTGGATTATCTTTGCTGGCTTCAGTCTGTGTCATACACATCTCTCTCTTCCATTGCACACTTAGCTTTGGTGCTTCGTTCCTGGCTTGCATTGAGCCAGTGTTCTCTATTCTCTATTCCAGGGTCATTAACCATGCTCTCCTTCTGGACTGCCTGGGCTGGGAGTGGAAGCTATTGTGTTACAATGGAACCATTCCTACATTACCGGGAAGTTTTAGAACATGGAGCTGGAAGTCTGCTAATCACTGTGGGAATTACTCTTCAAGGATCTCATGCCTCCAATAGCTTTAAACATATACAGTGGTACCTCGGGTTACATACGCTTCAGGTTACAGACTCCGCTAACCCAGAAATAGTACCTCGGGTTAAGAACTTTGCTTCAGGATGAGAACAGAAATCGTGCTCCGGCGGGGCAGCGGCAGCGTAAGGCCCCATTAGCTAAAGTGGTGCTTCAGGTTAAGAACAGTTTCAGGTTAAGAACGGACCTCCGGAACGAATTAAGTACTTAACCCGAGGTACCACTGTACATGAAGCTGCTACAGGCTGATGTGGAGTAGTCTGCCGCAGCCTGGTGACTAATTATGTTGTTGGACTCACACTCCCATCAGCTGCAGCCAGGGTTCAAGGGTGATAGCAGTTGTAGTCCACAACATCTGGACAGCACAGGGCTGGGGAAGGCTGATCTGGAGGTTTATAGTGAGGCATCTTCAATATGAAGATGACCTCAGCTCTATTTATCCAGGTGTGATGATGTTTTCTTCATCCCTTCACTCACTTTTTGCAGAGCACCAGTGATGGCATTGTCTGCAGATCATCGTCGTGCTTTCTTTGCAGTTGTTTAATATTTTTCTTGGAGTTTGTTTGTGGCAGCTTTGTAGCTATAGATGGCATTGAATTGCAATGGCTTCCTATGTGTACAGGTAGTAGTGTTACTACCCAGGCATCTGAGGTGGAGTGCCCAGTGGCTTGTATTGGGATTGGGTGGACTATTAGTCCTCCCCCATATATCATCTTTTTTTGCTCAGAGCCTTCTGTTTGTCTTCTTAAGCACCATTACCAGAGCAAATATGTGGCAATTTATTTATAAAAAACCCTATATAATGTTACAGTGTTATGATTCTAATATCCATAGCAGAAGAATAAGGCACCAAACTGCAACCACTGAACGTTTAAGGGGGGTGGGAAGTATGTGTGGAAGCTCACTTCTTCATATAATTTTTTTAAAAGGATGGGAAGACAGAAGGAACACCCACACATCCATTAGTATGGATGGAACATTGCAGGCTATAAATACAGGAAGGGACTTTCATTTCCTCCATTGTGTAGAACCTTGCAAGTCCTGGGGGAATAGTGTGATTCAGCGGTGGTAAATGCCTGCAATGCGGGCTGGTCTCATTTTACCAGCTTCTACTGGTATCCCATCTGTAGCTAATGTTCTGCATATCCTGGAATACTCACCTTCACTTCGCTATAATGTGCTCACATGGAATGACTTTGAAAACAGACCTGGTCTTGAATAGAGCATGACAATAGAGTGCTAGTGCTAAAGAGTATGTATCACGCCTGAGCTAAAAGAGCTCCACTGATAACCAGTTTGTTTCAGGGATAAATTAAAGGTGCTGGTCCGGTCTACTAAATCTGTCCATGATTTGGGTTCAGGATGCCTGAGGGAGCTCCGTAAGTTGGAAGACTGCCAAATTTGCCCTTTCAGCAAGTTCCTATTTAGACAGGTATTTCAGCCTCCTCGATTGTGTAATATTACTCTTCCTGTAAGGCTGACGTTTTTGTTCGTTTCTTTACATTGTGAGGGGCTCTGAGGACCTATTCAAAGAAATGGGCTGTGAATTTTAAACTAAATAAATAGGCTTTGTTTGAGGCTGATAAGTACATTATTTCAAATTGCACTGATATATGTGAGCATTAAGCAATCATGCATGCTGCTTATCTGGCCAGCTGGCCAGTTATGAATTTCTCTGCACACTCTCTGCACTGCAAATAAAGGAGAACTAAATGTTTAACTGGGATATTGGATCTTTTATGGCTTTAACTCTTCTCCAATTGAAAGAAACCATCTCATTGCAGAGCACAGGAGTAGCTTAAAATTTTAAATTAATGCAGAATAATCCCACACACCAAACAAATTAGCTAACCCACTCACTTCATGCATTATACCTATACTCACTTCTTAAGATCTGAACTTTTATATCTGCCTACTCCATTGATTCCTTGCATTCTATTCTAAGAGTTCATGTCTTAAAAATTAAAAAACTAAGCTAGAATTTACTGTTAGTTTTGCTGTGTGTTTCTGGAATATGTTTACTGAGAGACCTGGTTGGACTGAGCGATGGCTTGTCCTACAGTTCCCCCTTTTGGTGACAAGGTAGAAGAGAAATGTTTTCTTCCTCAGCTATTTTGACTATTTTGTCCTTATGTTCTGCCATTGTATAAACTGGATTTAACGTTGCTTTGCTTTAAATATTGGTTAAATTTTGAAGTTGCCTTTTTTTTTTTTTTTTTGCTTTTTGCTAAAATTTACAGTAACAGTCCAATTTCTGTTTTCCCTCACTCATTCCCATCCCAACCAATGATAGCACGACATGTTAGCCATTCACACTCATTATTTTATGGCATTTCAATTATGGCATATGGTTTTTATTTCTGTAACTAAACAAATGTTTTCAATTCTTTCTGCAGGTTATAGAAACATTATCCAAGCTTTCCCGCACCCCTATTGCATTAGTCACCGGAATAAGGTACAATGTAGTTGTAGATTCTGTTTTTAACTTTTATCGTGGCCGATAACTTGAGTAACATCTGTGAAATCTTTCTCCATCTAGCAGATGAGTTACAGTTAAATGATGAATGTTAAAATGCTACCACACAGTTGTTTCTTTAAAATGGAGGTGTACTTTAAGAACTGGGTTTATGGCAGTTTTTTTTTTTACTTTTATATTTTGTCTCCACAGGCCGTTTCCTACAGAAGAGAGTGTGAATGATGAAGACATTTACAAAGGCCTTCCAGATTTAATAGAGTAGGTTGTACATTTGTGGACTCTACAGCATAAGTTATGTAAAGGAGAAAATGGAACTGTTTTGACCAATGAACAAAATATACTGTGTTGTACATGTGTCTGCGAAACATCTAATTAGATTCTGCTGCCTGTCGATTACATACAGCCCCCTGAAGAGGTTTTGTGGTCCCTCAAACCCCCCCCCCGCATTTATCCATTTTAATCCCCCCCTCTCTATATATATATTTACTGACTGATCCCATAGGTACTGTGCTGCCAAGAGTTTATTTTGTGTCCTCCTATGACCCCTAAATTTATCCATTTAATTGAATTTCCTTCCAATCATTCCTGCGGGGCCCCCCATTGTGATGACAAAAGTTTCTGGTGACCCCATCAGGACCAAAATGTGACATTAAAAGCAAAAACAAAAAAAACCCCACAACCATACTAGGTTTTTAACAATTTGGCCATGTCCATTTTGACACGTGGCCTTTGGAAGCTGGATCAGAGGTCCCTGTGGCCCTAAAAGGTTAGCCACCCCTGATCTCAATGGAAGTGGAAGATTTTGTTATTTCCAGAGGAGGACAAGGAGGGCAGAGCAACATTACGCCAGGTTATGTTGCTCTTACCCTCCTTGTCGTCCTCCAGAAATATCAGAACCTTTCAAAAGGGTTAAGACTTCTTCTACATCCCATTGTTCCTATAATTTTAAAAGACCCAAATGTTCTTCAAATTCTATTGCTAATGTTCTTAATTTTGTTGTCTTTTCTCCTTCCGCTTTGTGTTCTAGTGAAAGTGGTGTAGATGAAGATGAAGACCTTTATGATTGTGTTTATGGGGACGACGAAGGTGGCGAAGTCTATGAAGACCTGATGAAAGCTGAAGCAGCACACCAGCCAGTAGGGTTCAACTCTTTGTTTATTTATTAATTTTTCTATACCACCCTTCATCCGAGGATTCACAGAGCGGTTTACAATATAGAAACACCAAAATACATAGCACAGTAACAAACAAAAACAATAACCCCCATCACCGTTTAAAAGGCCGTAGATTGTTTAATTAGCCAGGGAGAAGAGGAATGTTTTGCCTGGTTCCTAGAGCTATGTAATGAAGGTACAAGGCAAGCCTCTCTGGGGAGAGCATTCCACCAGTGGGGAACCACTGCAGAAAAGGCCCATTCTTGTGTCGCCACCCTCCAGACTTCTCGTGGAGGAGGCACATGAAGAAGGGCCTCAGATGATGATCGCAGTGTCTGGTTGCTTTATTGTTTGATAAAACAGAGAGGTAAATCAAACCAGATCAATATGAATAAATATTTGACATTCTTATTTTGAATATTCTTTCTGCTAAGACTACACTGTTGTCTTCTTGTAGTTTTGGGATGGGATTCCTTTCTTTCTTTAAAACAATTGTAGTTGCTTAATTATATTATTTGTTATTATATTATATTTTAATTTATAGGCAATAAGACACATGGCCAAAATACAAACAAGGTAAAAATGGCCAAAATACAAACAAGGTAAAAATAGAATAGGAGACCATAAAATCTGATGCAGCATAAAGTTCAAGAGCAGAGAACAAAATAAATGGAGGCAAAAATAATGATTAAGGACTTAAACAGATTTAGAAGACCTGGGAAAACAAAAAAGTGGGTTGCTGAAATGACAATGTCATAACCACTAGTTGAGCTGGCTGGCTGGGGCATTCCACAATTATAGTGTCACCAGTGAGAAGACCCTTTCATCCGTATCCACCTGCTACATGTCAGCTATCTAGAAAACAAGCATCAGACTTTGAGTACTTCCTCTGTTTCAGCTCCTTATCTGTTATTCATATGCTAGATATATACCCACAAGATTTGACAGGTGGGAAGAGTTCAATTGCCCCTCCTCACTCAAACATTACAATTCCTTTATCCAACTCCAGTTACAATAGTCAGTTATAGTAATAATGGGATAGGGCATCTTGTGGGAAATATATATGGCAAGAGGACCCCAGCTCTGTGGGCTGCCCCATTTGTCTAGCTGCACCTACTGTGGCATATTTCTATTCTCTGCCTACTGCAGTCTTCCACATGTTGGTGCTCTTTGGTGTTTTGGACCCCAACTCTCATCAGTGTATGAGACTTTGGAGCTATCTCTTCTGATCTTTTATTTAAAAAAATAAAATGAAAATGGGGATTAAAAACACACAAAAAAGAGCTAGCTTCAAATTCTCATACATGTAAGAGTAAGAATGTCAATAAATTCAAAGTTTGTAATGTCTGGAGACACGTTGAAGCCCCAAACCCTTTCATGCAGAGGCTTGGTGGAAGAAAGAAGTCCAGAAATTGGGAAATTATTTGTTGCAAGTGTTTTTTGAGTCTGCCGCTTCCACCAGCCATTGGCTACGATGGCTGGGGCTGATGGGGAGTTCTAGTCCAAGGCATGAGGTTGGGGGAGGCTGGCCAACAACCCATGTAAAATAATAGAATTGTAGTGTTGGAAAGGGACCACAAGGAATGTGTAGTCCAACCCCCTGCAATGCAAGAACCTTTGGGGGCTCAAACCCACAACCCTGAAATTCTACCAACTGAGCTAGCTCAGCACATATGTCCCCTGCAGCCCAAATAATAAATCTGAAAACATTTTGTTGCCAATTGATCATAAACTCTGACAGGTGTCAAAGCAATATGTTGTAATAGGAAAGTGTCCTGAAATCAACATGTTTCACGTCTACAAATAACTTCTTGTTGGCTTGGCAGAAATGTCCTGAAAACGACATAAGAAGCTGTTGCCTTTCTGAAATAAAACAAACCGAAGAGAAATACACAGAAACATTGGAATCCATTGAAAAGGTAAAGTGACCTGGCAAAACAATCAGGAGCACCATTCCAGCTGGGGAGTGCAGAGAAAGGGTGTGGCTGGTGAGGCAGTCTGGGTGGACCACCATTACTCTCCCAGCTTCCCAACACAGTGGGCTGCTGGCACAGAGAGAGAGAGAGAGGCGAGGGGTGAGGTGCCGGGAGCTTGGCCCAGTGCAGCATGCAATCAACCAAAGCAACTATTTGTAAACAAATAATAAACTTCCATAAAAATGGCAAAAGTAATTTCTTCCCCCAATAGTTTTTATCTTAAACAATCGCAAACACTGTAAATAAAGAGGTCACTTGTGATCAGTGGTTAGCCCTTTCATCTTGTGGAATGAAATGTGCCTCCAAATTTAATTAAGGGGGGAAAAGTTTTCCTTGGCTACCAGAAGTTTGGGCAGCACTGGTTTATACCCATTATCACATAGGGTATGCAAAGCTAATAAAGGCAGTCACAAGACATATACATCTAAAATACAGAGTGTGGGGGTCATTGTTACCCTTGCCCTCCCTGAATAGGAATCACATATTCAGAAATGTCCTTTGTTAGTGGGTGGCATAATATGTTAATGCAGTATGTGTTCATTTCTCTTACAGTTTTTTATGGTTCCCCTGAAAAGGTTTCTGACCACTTCAGAGTTTGAGACAGTATTCATCAACATTCCCGTATGTAATGCCTTGGGATGTTTTGTTTGTTGTCCTCTGTTATGTGGAAGTCTACAAGATACTATTTGAGAATACTGTTAGGGTAGAGATAGATGTGATATACAAAGAGGCTTCCTTCTGGTTTCCTGGTTTAATAGGTAGATGGGTTTAGGCAACAACATACAGAAAGGTGGGCACCACCTTGGGTCCCCAGATGTGGATAGATACAACATCCGTGATCCACTGCCAGTTTAGCTCAATGTTGGGAGTTGTAGTCCAGTCACACCTGGAGACCCAAAGTTGAACACTGATCTAGGCAACTATAAATGCATGACATGAGGAGCCGGTGTACTTGGGGTACTGTAAACTCAACTGCTTGGTGTGTGAAGTGTGTGTAAAGATAATTCAGAGCAGCTCTTTGATCATCACCTGCCTCATTCATTCATTTTATTTGTATGCCACTTTTCCATGGCAAAAAAAATCACGCTCAAAGTGGCTTACAACAAAGAAAACAAGACATTTCAAAACCTAGCAGTGCAAAAAGAATGTCCTAATAACATAGGAGCCATTAGCAACATCTAGCATCCAATAACCAAAAAAATCAAGGGGGCTTTACAGTTTCACCTTAGTCCTAGAAATACCCTTTCCATGATGTTTCTCACAGCAGCGGGCAGAGGGCAGGGTAGCTGATGTTCCTCATGATGTTTGGTAGTCCACAGTTATGAAGAGAGATCTGGTCCTGCATAGTGCACCTGTTTTGTCTGTCCAAGGAACAGGTGGTGCTGTGGTCTAAACCATTGTGCCTCTTGGGCTGGGCTTGCTGGTCGGCGGGTCAAATCCCCGTGATAGGGTGAGCTCCCGTTGCTCTGTCCCAGCTCCTGTCAACCTAGCAGTTTGAAAGCACGCCAATGCGAGTAGATAAATAGGTACCGCTGCGGCGGGAAGGTAAACGACGTTTCCATGCACTCTGGCTTCTGTGATGGTGTTCTATTGCACCAGAAGCAGTTTAGTCATGCTGGCCACATGACCCAGAAAGCTGTCTGTGGACAAATGCCGGCTCCCTCAGCCTGAAAGCAAGATGAGCGCCGCAACCCCATGGTTGCCTTTGACTGGACTTAACTGTCCAGGGGTCCTTTACCTCTTTTGCATCCCTAATATGTCTCTGGCCACAAGAGCACTTGACTGTAAATTCGTGAAAGATAAGGGGTTATTTTAGATGGTTCTTATTTCAGCCTTGCAGAGCTTTGCGAATATATACCTGTAAATTTATGAGAACACTTGGAAAATGTGTAGTATCTACAAACTCTGTAAATAGAAATGTTTATTGTTTTTCCACTCTGCTTGTCTCAGCACCTTCTGTTTCTTGAGCAAGACATTAAGATTTCAGTTAGCTTGTCAGTATGATGCTATGCAGCTGTCCAGTGTAATGTGCCAAATGATTTTTTTGTTGAAGTAGTGGGATGTGAATCTTTAATTCTTTTATCTCTAAAACCTGGAGCAGGTATAATGCCAACCAGTGACTAGACTGGGCTAGGTGATTGCTTGGCTTCCCTTCCCCTTTTCATGTGCAAATACATCGCATCCTTTGCACCTGGATCTTTCATTAAAATCTGTTTTAAGAAACCGGCTTTAGTTAGGGAAATGAAGCTTAGATTTTTCCTGGGTTCATTTTAACTGTAATAAAATTTAGTCTCATTCAACAATGGACTTAAATGGAGGGTGCTTGGGGATGGGGATGGATGGGGAAGAGTTTTTGTAGCCTGCAGTCTTAAACCCAGGTCTGCACCAGGCCCAACATGTTTACTTGCCTTAAAATGTTATAATTTTACCATAGAACAGAGACAAATTCTATGTCTCCAACATAGAGGGGAAGGTGTTTTATATTTCTTAAACATTTGCAGTTTTAAGTTTAATGAGTAGATATATAACTATGTATATTCAATATATCTTTATTGTGCCATCTTTTTCATTCAAAAGATATAATTCAATTATAATGTGTCTAGGATGAATCAATCTATGAATTATTTTATTGTATAATTTTACTGTATACGTGAAAACAGTGGCTTTACATGGCAGTATCAAACATAATTGTAGAAGTTTTATAGGATGTTTTTGTTGTAGGATTTGGTGAAAATCCACAGAAGTTTAACACAGGATATTCATGAATCCATCGTAAACAAAGGTGACCAGAACCTGTATCAAATTTTTATAAGCTACAAGGAAAGGTAATTACTGAGTTTTTAAAATGCACAATGTCGATAACTTTAACATAAGCTATTCATATTCTTTTATGCATTAGAAATCTACTCTTGTTTTGTGTAGTGTGCTTTTAGAGAAACTGTATTTAATTTTTTATTATAACCAGAAATAGTATGTGTAACATTAGCATATAGCTTTAAATGTGCTGAATGCTAAACCAAATTTCAGAGAGCATTATTCTTTAGTATATACTGTGTCAGTCTCCCTGTTCTCTGTTCATATGTTGTTACAGTGCTGTTTTCTTTTCACAACTCTCAGCCTTATTTTGCATAAAATAATGTCATGTTATCTCAAAGTGCAATACACATATTGATGAATAGTCTACATGCTGCTCAGATGTTATCTATTTTGACATTCTGACCTCATCATCCTCTTCTCTTGATCTTAAATAACCAAGAACCTATGACTGATGCAAAACACTGTTATTCATTCCATGACTTTATCAGGGCTCTGTGTGCCTTAGCATCCACTCTTTCACATTAACCTTCAGTAGCTTCACATCCTACCATCTTCCAGGAACCAGGGAGGGAATAGATGGCTAGGGAGAGCAGCAAGCCTGTTCACTTCCTTCCTGTGAATGCTAATCGGGAAGAGCATCCTGACTCTCAAGAATTTTCTATGCTGTGTTCTCTTGATCTTTTACTGATCTACATATTCAGATACCTTTGAAGCATAGAATTATTAGGTTTGCACCATTTCATAAAGCAAGCGGGATTAAATGCATGTTTTGAATGCTGCTCCGTGTTTTGTTTTGTTTTTTTATTAACACAGCTTCATGCACAAAGCACGTTAGCATTTTGGGGCAAAGGCTTGGATAGACATGTGAGCTTTCCATAGATGGGGAGTTTTTGATTCACCCATGAAATGCACTTTCTGTTTGTATTCTGAAGTGGGTCAGCCCCAGGTAGGTTGTGTTTGTAGGGCTTTGTTTGCATTTATATTCCCTTACAACAGGATTCAGAGCAATGGTAAGACTGAGAACTGAACATCACAAGTACTTGAAACATTATTATTGTGGTGGCAAGAAGCCATTTTTAAATGCAGAAAATGTTAATGGAAAAGAATAGCTTATTGCACAGGGGAGTTTTGGAACTATTGTGCTTTCCTTTCCATAGCTTATGAAAATCTGTCAAAGTAAGTCTGTCTGATCTTTGCGACTGTTGCCACTTGGTTCTTTGAGCCAACATGCTATTATCTTGACTTAAATGCTCATATAACGTAAACTGGTAAATGGGTATGCTTGCCCTGCTGTTGCTATAAAAAAGGACTCGGTGTAATTAATCTGGTGCTAATCCTACACTGCAGAGTATTATTCATCAAATCCTTTGAAGTCTGCCCATTAACATAACAAATACTAATAAGACTTGTTCTGTTCCAAAAGGTTTTTGCAGCTGTATTTTTAAGTTAATAAAATGTAGGCATTAAACCACAGCACATACTTTGAAGTGGGTGTTACACTTTTGAACACCTGTAGAGACTGACACACACGTTCCTAAGAGGCCAATCTGTATGCAATGATGGCAGTCTATGCTAGAACAAGAATGATGAGATGCAGCTGGAAAACAGCAGCCCCTTCCAGGGTTGGGGTGTAAGAAGACAAAGCCTTGGGTGTAAATTGAAGTTGGTGGAGTTGATAAAAAGATTAATTGCTTGTTCTCTTTCCTCTTGATCTAGATTAGTTATTTATGGGCAGTACTGCAGTCAAGTAGAAACAGCCATATCCTGTTTGGATAACATTTCCAAGACCAAAGAAGATGTTAAATTGAAACTGGAGGTATCGCTGAAACTTCTCTTCTTAAAAACAAACAAACTGTACCTTGATCTCGAATCGTAGCATGGAGAGTATGGATTGTATTCACCTACGTTCTACCCACAGTGACCCACTGAAGTCAATGCACATAATTTAGTCCATTAATTTCAGTGACTGTCAACAATTTCAATCTATGTCTTATTAGTTCATTTCTACAAAATTGGAGTTAGGCCTGTGGTAGGATCCTAAGGTGGTAGAGTGAATTGCCTGTGGGGGATTGCCATGTTTGATTTTTTTCCCCATAGGAGGAAAAAAACCCCCACATTTCAGGTAGAAATGTTGTAACCTATCCCACTTCTTGCTGTCATGCATTTTTATATGGGGGAAGTTGTTATACAAGAGAGTATGAAAAAGCAACCCATCACCTCTTGTCTGAAGAGACAAATTCATGGAGGATAAGGTTATTAATGCCTACTAGCCATTGTGGCTATGTTCTGTCTCCACTGTTGGAGGCAGTGTGCTTTTAAATGCCAGTTCCCAGGAATCACAAGTGAGAGAGTGCTGTTGCACTCAGGTCCTGCCTTTGGAATTCCATAAGCAACCGGCTGCTGTGAGAATAAGATACTGGACCAGATGGGCCCATTCTCTTGATCCTGCAGACCTTATGTTCTTATGTGATACAGTCCATTCTGTAACTTCAGAACTCTACCATCCTGTTGCCACCAGTTTGGATAACTGGTCTGCCTGCTTCAGAAAATTAAAGACGTTACTTTGCTGTATTGATTATACCAAGTCATATCAAACCCTTTGCTTCTTTAAATAGGAATGTTCCAAAAGAGCCAATAATGGGAAGTTTACTTTGCGGGATCTTCTTGTGGTTCCAATGCAGCGAGTTCTGAAATACCATCTTCTGCTTCAGGTACTTCACCTTTAAATTATATGAACTTCACACTGTTTTTATCAGTTCTCAACCAGTAGCTCAGGTTGCCGCCCAACTAGCACAGCTATTATGGAACTTTTCCAGTTCGAATTGTGGTCATGTTAGTGCCACAGATTTTGTTTTCCACTGAAAGCACAAAGTAGTAGGTCAGAAGTCCTACACCTAGTGCCATTCAGAATACCCTGCCAAATTTACTCTGTTTTCTTTTGTTGGTTTTTTTTGTTTCCTTTCCAGTGGCTGTACGCTCACCCTCTTTGGTGTGGAGTACTTGCCTCTGTTGTTGTTGTTGTTGTTGTTGTTGTTGTATCTTCCCTTGATATGCAACATAGTTGTCTGTCAGGATCAGTGCTAGTTTTCTCCCCACTTCCAGTCTCCTTAGCTTATTCAGTTTTTTTCTCATTTCAACAAGAAAATAATAATAATAATAATAATAATAATAATAATAATAATAATAATTTATTTGTATCCCACCCTCCCCGGCCAAAGCCAGGCTCAGAGCTGCTAACAACAGGTAAAAATAGCACAGTGTATATAAAATCGCACAATCAATTAATTAAAATAAATTCTAGAATCAATTCACAATCAAATTAATGACAACCATTGGGTTAGAGTTCTATGAAGATTACAGAAGGAGAGAGGGGGTCAGACTGTGCCTTGGCCAAAGGCCTGGCGGAATAGCTCCATCTTGCAGGCCCTGCGGAAAGATGTCAAGTCTTTCTCTAAAAGAGAATAACACCAGTCACAGAATAAAATCAAAATAACATAAGCAGCAGGTAATGACGCCACTACAACGTTTCCAAAGAGTAGCGTAAATATTTAAAGCCTGGAGATATGAAAATCTCCTCACCTGCTACACATTGTATCATTTAGTACAGGGCAACCTCCGCCCCCCCCCCCCGCATGGCTTCATTCCTTTGCAGATAATCTCTGTTTCTGTTTTAATATGATCACAACCACTGACTGTTTCTCTCTCTTTTTCATGCTTGTGCGACAAAGAGATGCAATAGTGGTGGTGGTGGTCTTAAGAGAGAGATTGCATGTGCAGGTGTGATCTTACCCCCCCCCCCGCCTCATCACCTGCTTGCCAAGGGCTGCAGCTTGTTGCACTGAGCTAGTCAGTGTTTTCACATTGTGAGTTTCCCCACCCATGAGCCATGTCACTGGCGTTCATTGGCAAGAACAGCATGATGGCCCTGACTCATGCAGAGAGTTGTATTAATGATGCACCTGTCAAGGGGTGGGCAACTTGCCCTAGGGATTTCAAGCCGCATGATAATTGCAGTAAAGCACTGAGAATAAACCACAGAAGACTGCCATTATTTAGAAAGATTCCCTAAGCCTGTTGGACAATAATTTAAGACTGATTTCGCAGTAACTTGAGTCAAAATACAACAAAACAATAATAATCTGGTGCATTCAGATAGTGCTACCAAGCTGATGCTAGGTGATGCTTTTCATGCGTGCCTCTGCTTTTTGAAGTTGAAGCTGGACAAGGCTCAAGCACTTTCCAGCCTATTTTCTTGCTGTACTGAATTATAATAAAGCAATAGTTATTTTGAATGCTTCCCATTATAACCCACGGAGCTTGTGGCTTCTGTGCAGTTAGTCCTATAATGAGGCTAGAGAGTCCTATAAATATCATTTGATAGCTGTGCTGGGAGACTCATTAGTTCAGTTGCAAGGAAATATATTACTCCATTAGACTGTCAGCTTTGCTGATGCTTATAAAACGTCATTTTAAAAAGAACTTCTACCTGTGCAAGAAGCAATTTTCCCCCCTTCCCTTTGCAGTGTTCTTTGCCATTGTGTATATCATGCTTCCTGAAATGCATCTGAGTGAAGTGAGTTTCCAGCATGGTTTAACAGTTAATCCTTCCTCCTAGGGAACTCTGGGAATTGTAGTTCTTATGAGAGGATTGGAAGCCTTCTAACAACTCTCAACACACTTTAAAAAACTACAATCCCTAGGATTCTTTGTGGAAGCCATGACTGCTTAAGGTGCTATGATACTCCTTTAAATGTATATTGCAGAAGGGTCCTGCATTGTCTGAAACCAATGATACAAGATTGCAATGGGGGCTCGTGCTGAGACATAGATTCACTAAGGGCCAAGTCCCTTCAATGTGTGCTTGTGAAATGAAAACATCTGAATCTCTACATCATGTTATGTTTATCTGCCCTTTGTACAGTTCAGCCCGTGCTAGTATTCTAAACCCCATAATCCAGCCTATGGCTGACAAACCAGTAGACCTACAGCTTGCCTGGGTACTTCAAGATGTGGATCCTTATATTACCCTACAGGTTGCTAAATTCCTAACAGCCGTCCTCTCATACAAGAGACGGAACGGAATGTTAGCTGATTATTGATAGTCACAAGAATTTTCTATAATGACATCAGATATTGTTTTTAGTGTAGTGCCAAATTTTTTTTTTTAATCTTAATCTTAAACTTTTTTATGAATGGCTAATATCCGTCCTTGTGAGTTGTGAACTGTGTTATACTACTTGTGGTTTGTATGAGTCCGCTGTTTTATTTGATTTGTTTTGTTGTGTTGTGCTTCATGATGGGCGTAAAGCCGAATAAACATTTGTTTGTTTGCAATGGGGGCTCAGTTCAGTAAACTGGTCTAATTCCCCTTCCAAACATTTACTTCCCCTCCTAATACCTGTTATAGTACTATCCAGTGCTACTTGAAGTATTTGTAGCCATTCGCATTAAGGCTGAAACCTAGATAGGAAATTTTAGGCAGAAAGGCCCACCTAAATTTCTGCCCTTTTCCTTGATGCTTGAGAATGAAAGGATTCTTGAAAGGAATCTGCTTTCCATGAAATCCCTGAATACGCAGTCCAGTAATGGAGAAAGGGAACTGAACATGTAAAAGGCTTGGCTATTGAGGATGAGTTAGGGAATAATTTGCCTTGTGAGATTTTAGGAGTTACATACAAATTTTGAAGTGTTTATAAACAAGTATGGGGAAGTGTAGATCACTTACACAAAAGCACACAGGGTATAGGAGGAGGGGGATATCAGTACAATCCTCTGTATGTCTACTCATGGTGCTTCCAGACTTTAGCCTTTTTTGGGTGGGATTCAGTCACGTACTGGTGAATTCACATTGTACAATTAAAGCTGATTTGGAGCTCTTGGGCAACAAAACAGCCTCCCCCCCAAAGATCAGACCTTTGGCAACAAGGAAATACACTGGAAAGTGTGGAATAGCACTTGCTTGACACAGGATCATCTAGCCTCTCCACAGACAAATAAGAATGAATTCTCATTCAATAGTCATCATCATATAATCTCCTTGCAAACAAATCAGGATGAGTGCTTAATAAATAGGCCATCTGGAAGCCCCCTCAGCAGTGAAACCCATTTATTTCGTATTCTCTGGTAAGTCTGCCTGATTGCAGCCTAAATAAATGTGTAAGAAAACAAACCATGAATAGATAAAATTAGTTTGGAATTGTGATGAATTTCCATGAAATTCAACCTATATTCTGAAATGAAAATTAATCCCATGGACTTTTGCAATTTTGCCCTCTGAAACTCTGAGGGTAAAACATGAAAATTTAATCTCAAAGTTATTGAAAAGGCTGCTTTTCAGATCCTTAGATTTGGTACTGTTATGTGGAGGGCAACATTCCAGATATAGGCTTTAATAGTGGAAACCGTGTCTTCACTTCATGTCTTGAATAAAAGCATGTGGGATATAGCATATGCATAATATACAGTACCTCATATTATGGGCTTTTACAGATAATGATGGGATCAGACCATCATTTTCTTCCTAAGGCAAAATAGTTCTGTTTTTAAATACTGATAAGTTCAGCATTTTTAAAAATGTATTGAATGGCCGATAGCTATCACAAGAAATGTCTGTGTATTCTTCAATACAGGAGTTGGTAAAACATACTAGTGACCAAACTGAGAAGAACAATCTGAAACAGGCACTTGATGCAATGAAGGTAAGTGCGACTAACAGATTGGATATGTAAACTCTCTCTGGCGTAAAATTGTAAGAGTCTTTTCTGGAGAGAAATTAAATATATATCTACCTGCAACGTGTTGTTTCTGCATTACTGCACACCAACTCATATGTTCACTAATACCCAAAAGCAGGTGTAGAGTTTTCCCAGTTCAGAGCCAAGCTCATCAGAACAAATTAATATTGATGTTTGAAAGGAAAAGGCTCTATAGCTTTGTTGTGTGTTAAATGCATGTTAACTTCAGTCCGCTTGATTGCACATTGTTTCTCCTATTTAAAGCACAAAATATAATGCAAACCTATATAAGAAACTGACTTACACACTGAGCCAGACCATGGGTTCTAGCTCAGTATAGTCTACACTAACCGGGAACACCTCTCCAGAGTCTCAGGCACGAAGTCTCTCTCAGTCCTCCTTGCAGATGCTGGGATTGAATCTCATATCTTCTAGATATGAAGCAGATGCTTTGTCGTTGAGCTATGACCCCACCTAAATCATCTACGTGTATGGCATACATAATTGGTTTGACTACACATCTCTAGTTTTATTCCTAGCTTTATATTATTATCTGTTGAGTCAGTTCATGGAGGGAGATCAGTCTTGCAGCCATTCTAACTGTGTTGCTGCAGGAAGATTTTGTGAAAAAAAGCTTTCATGTTCAGTTTTCGAAGTGAGCATATGAGCTATTGCTATATCATTCAATTGTTTCTGGAGCTCTTCGTTCTGAGCCCTTTTTGGTTTTTTTGACTATCTTAAGCATACTGTAGGGGGACGCGGGTGGCGCTGTGGGTAAAAACCTCAGCGCCTAGGGCTTGCCGATCGAAAGGTCGGCGGTTCGAATCCCCGCGGCGGGGTGCGCTCCCGTTGCTCGGTCCCAGCGCCTGCCAACCTAGCAGTTCGAAAGCACCTCCGGGTGCAAGTAGATAAATAGGGACCGCTTACTGGCGGGAAGGTAAACAGCGTTTCCGTGTGCTGCGCTGGCTCGCCAGATGCAGCTTTGTCACGCTGGCCACGTGACCCGGAAGTGTCTCCGGACAGCGCTGGCCCCCGGCCTCTTGAGTGAGATGGGCGCACAATCCCAGAGTCTGGCAAGACTGGCCCGTACGGGCAGGGGTACCTTTACCTTTTAAGCATACTGTATGTTCTCACACTGTGGTAGAAAGAGGTTTACACTTAAAGGTTTGCTATGTTCTCTCTGCCTCACAAAGGAAGTGTGAGCAGGCTATTCATCTCCTCACAACAGAAAAATTAGTCAAGGAAGCTTGATTGACCTGACACATGGTACTGTCCACATGATATGCAGGGTGGGTGATGTGTCCCATAATTTATATTTATGTACAGTTTGTACCTGCTAATGTTTTAATACATAACTGCTTCTACTGTAGCTTGGGAAGTGTCTCTTAGTAGTCAATTTATCTAATTAAGTGTAACAATTTAGCCCATGGCTGTTGCACCTCAGATATCTCTCTTCTGTGTTTTAGGACTTGGCTCAGTATGTAAATGAAGTGAAGCGAGATAATGAAACCCTCCGTGAAATTAAACAATTTCAGTCATCAATTGAGAATTTGGTATGTCTCTGTCTCGTGTTACCCTTCAAACTTTGTATGTTGTTTTTACTGTTCCTTTTCGGGGTGATCTTGCTGCTGCTTCATTCTTAAAAGTAGGAGCTTGGACAAAGGCAAAGTCTGAGCTTGAGCACACAGAGAGCTGAGAGTGAAAATCCTGGCAGGGCTGGAATTGGAGTCAGAGTGGAGTTCTGGGGCCAACTGAGAGAGGCAGGGTGAATGGCAGGCCCAGAGGCAGAGGCAAGATGTTGCAAGTGGGGCTGGAACATAGATGCAGTAATCAGGTAAATAAGGAAGTTGGAAGAGGGGGATGGTGTGCAGGCTGTCAGGAGGAAGAGGAACATGGAAGCTGAGGGACGTAAATAACCTAGATCAGCAATAAAGAGACATAAAGGCAAGGCAGGAGTCTGATGGTTGACCTGAAAGTATATAGGTCAATCAGGTCAGAAGGGACCAAGTGAGCTTCTTGCATGTTTGCAGGGTGATGGAGATTAGGGTGGTGGAAAACTTTGGTGAAACTGGAAAAGGCAATGTTACTTTCTTATTTCTGCCACTCTGCAATCTTAAGTGGCTCTAAAAAGAATCTTTGGAGTAGCTTGGGGGGACAATTATTTTTTTTAAAAAATATATAGCTTGGATAAGTTCATAGCACCAAGGTGGTTCTTGAAGAAAAGATGCTGCCAGTGAACTCTTAAGTAATTTATGCTATTCTTACATTTTCAGAACCAGTCACTTTTACTGTATGGACGGCCACAGGGTGATGGTGAAATAAGAATAACAACTCTGGACAAAAGGGCAAGGCAGGATAGGTGAGCAGAGTATGAGGCTCTCTTTTTTTAAAACAAAACAAAACAAGGTGTGTCATTTACACTAGATAAATGCTCTTGAAATATGGCAGAAGAACTGTTGTGTATGTTAAATTGTTGCGCAGCAAGAGGTTTAATTTACCTCCATATTTTGAATAAAGCTCAACTATATTAGGACTGTCCTGATTTTTGTAGGTTTTGTTTTTCAAGCAAAAGGTGCCATTTGTTTGCAGGCAGAGGCAGTGCTCCTTAGGCAAAAAATGTTCTAGCTGCATAACTGCCTTCTCTTAGCAAGTCGCTTCTCAAGGCAGGGATAGTTATATTGCACATATTACTGAGGGTTGCCTTCTTTAAAGTAGTTGCTGTACTTGTTCTACCCCATCCATGTGTACCTTGAAAGACTGATGAAATGTAAACTCTCTTAGTGTGGTGACATCATGTTTATTAATATGGTCCCCACACTTCTCGACTGAACCTTAAATTTATCCTCTGTGAATTTTGATCTGTAATATTCTTTCAATATTCAGATATTTGACTTAGATATTGGATAGCAATATTTAAGATCAGTATATTTAGCAACATTAGAAGGTTTTTGCCATTTGATTTCCTGCAGAACCTGATAGCTGACATATGACCATGGGATTTAATGCATGACAATGGCATGTAATAGTTGCCATGCATTGATATGTGACATTTATCAATGTGCTGTACATATAACACACCTATAATGTGTGACAATTGCTGTTGGAATTCAGGTAATATTGGAAAAGACAGCTTATGACATCTGATTATATTTTATTTTCTGATTCACAGGCATATATTCTTATTTGACTTGGCTGTAATTGTATGCAAACGGCGAGGTGATAATTATGAAATGAAGGAAATAATTGATCTTCAGGAATACAAAATAGCCAATAACCCCACCACAGACAAAGAGAACAAAAAGGTAAAAAGTATAGGATTTTTCTTCATCCGTAAGATGTTCTGCTGAAATTTGTAGAGCTTTGCAGTATTTAAGAGGTTTAAAGTATTCCCTTCCATGTTTATTTATCCACAAACCCCCATCAGAAATAAATGTCTTGTTTACTTTTTATAAGGACCTTTTACGTGGGTGGAGGGGGGGCCCCCTCAAAAACATAACGCCTGGAAACTTGAATGTTATTACCTTATTCTGCATAGTGTTTCTAATGGCTCTAAAATGTGTATGATGACTGAGTAGACACATATAAATTGTGTTGTATGAAGCTTTGGAAACACACTAAAGCTTTATGTAAATGCTAGCTATTACTGTTATATATTAATCATTGTAGTTGGACTGGAAATAGGCAGTGTTTGGCCTTCAGAAGTTCTGAAGCAGCTGCACATGAATTCTTCATAGATAACCTTTGCATTGCCTTGTGCTTTAAACAGTGGTCTTACGGCTTCTACCTCATCCACATACAAGGCCAAAATGGACTAGAATTCTACTGCAAAACGAAAGATTTGAAGAAAAAGTGGCTGGAGCAGTTTGAAATGGCACTGTGAGTATTGCACATGTAATTAATTTCATAATGCACCAATGATTTGACAGTGTTTATGACCATGCAGTCATTTCAAATATACTTGCCTCGAAAGCCTCCATGCTGCCAAAAGCGAAATTCCTCCAAGGAAAGGAAGAGGGAGCTCTAAGCTATGTTTTGGTAGCCCGCTTTCCTCTAAAGCTTGTGCCTTAGTGCTCCAGTATCTAGGGAACATATTAATGGATTTAGCAATAAATATTTAACATAATTGTGGCTGATTTTGCTATCATTGCCTTGGTAAACTAAAATGTATTACTAAGGGAGATGGGGATGTTGGCATTTTTCCTAGTGGCTTCTAACTAATTTATTATGTGGTATTTGGATCAGGTTTCTTGGTTTTATTAAATTTATCTTCAAGGATTTGATTCTCTGCTTTTTAACACAACAACAACAACAACAGTTTATGTATTACAGAATCCTTTCAAAGAAATATAAAAAGTGTGTGCTGCGTATTGGAACTATACCTGTTTTGTATGTTATGTTCGCCAACAGCCTCTCCCCCACTCCACCCCCCCATCAATTATTATGTCATTTCTTTGTTTTCTGATTTACTTCATGAAGTACCAAATAAAGCTCTAACAATAAATAAATAAAACTCTTAACAATAAATAAATAAGTTAAAATGTGTTGAGAGGCGCTGCTTTGTAGCTTAGGAACAAGGGATTTCCATCACCGTGTTTTTTCCAAGGATTTCCATTCGACTTCAGTACAGAAGATTTACACCTCCTGGTTAAATTGTCATTAAATCATAATTATCAGTAAACCTGGATTTCATGTGATGTGCAGTATGCTGGTGTTCGCTGCTCAAAAGCTTCTGCTTTTCTCCTCTCTCTGCTCCTGTTGTTGGCACACAAGGGAGGAAACAAACCACATAATGGCTTTGTGATAGGCCAAGTACCAGCCATGGCTTCCATTTCTGGTTTGTTTGGAAGGGAACTGTTAAGTTCTCACCCTGGGCCAGCAGGGGGATACTGTAGATGGTTTTCACTCAGGTCCACATATGCAAATAAGGGATTGAAAGTGACGTTCAGTGATTGGATAGTTACAGAAAGTGGTTACTGTTGCGTTCTAGTGGAGCTCTATATAAGCAGGTTGGCTGAACCCTTCAGTTCAGTTCTGTTCTGGCCTGTGAATAAACAAGAGCTGTTTGAAGAATCGCTGTGTCGTCTGATATGTTCACCCACAACTTAACAGAAACATACTTCCCATACAGACTAGCCCTGTGCCCTCAGAGCAACATCAGAGACACTGCTCTGTGTCCTTCTACTATTTAAGGTGCAACAGGTGAGCGCAGGAATAAGGGCCTTTTCAGTCATGGTGTGTATACTACAGAGCATCCAGTTATGTCTGGCTTGATACTTATTTATTGCATTTTTATCCATCCATTCCTCCAACAATGTCAAGGTAGCATGCACTTCATCCTCTTCACAGCCCTGTGAGGTTGGTAAGGCTAAGACAGAATGAATGATCTAAGCTTCACAACTGAGTGGAGATTCCAACCTGGTTCTCCCCAGCTCTAGTCTGAAACCCACACTGTTGCACCATGTACTTGACAAGCAGTGAAGATGTGGGGTTATTTCAGCCTGCATTTGGGTTGTATGATAAAGGATTTGGGACCCAGGGGCTTAGTTTGGGTTTCATATGTTGTTGCAGGTTTTTTTTTTTAAAATTCACTGCCGTGTTACATGATTGTTAGGCAGTTTAGTTTGTGAGGTAGTTTTAGTATTTGTACCCCTGTATTACCGTATTTTTCGCTCTATAAGACACACATTTTCCCCTCCAAAAATTAAGGGGAAATGTGTGTGCGTCTTATGGAGCGAATGCAGGCTCCTTGGCTTCAGCGATAGCAACACAAAGCCTCCGAAGCACAGTGGGAGCGCTCCCACCGTGCTCCGGAGGCTTCGTGTTGCTTTCGCTGAAGCCTGGAGAGCGAGAGGGGTCGGTGCGCGCCGACCCCTTTCACTCTCCAGGCTTCAAAGATAGCCGCCTGATAGCCGCTGTGCTCCGGAGGCTTCGGTTTCCTTTCGCTGAAGGGAATGTGCCCCTTCAGCTAAGGCGCAGCGCCCCTTCAGCTAAGCGGGAGGAGAAATGGAAGGGGCTCCGTTTCTCCTGCCCCTCCGCTGAAGGGGCGCTGCGCAGAAAGGGGAAGAATTTTTTTTCTTCTTCTTCTTCCCCTCTAAAACATGGTGTGTCCTATGGTCGGGTGCGTCCTATAGAGCGAAAAATACGGTATATAGATGGGCAGCCGAGAAAGAGTAGCACCAAATCAATTCACGCCAGGGACTCCTCGTACGTAGCTCAACCTTTAAGTTATTATTTGACACCAACTTTGCTTCTGATGATGACAATATAAGGAAGTGTTGCTTCTGTTTGGGTAATAGTTTCTTTTTCCAAAAGCTAGCACTTTATCATGTGTTCCTAAACGGAGATAGCAAGAACTTGATTATTTCCACAAGGAACTTTGATACATCATGCAGCTCAAATGACCCAGCAAGCACATTGCATACATTTTAAGTGAACCAACAATTGACGCTGTGAGTGATTTACTTAGCTTCTGCTGCTGTTTTGATGAAGACATTAGTGCTTTTAATGCCTTCCAGTTGTCTGCTTTCCTGCACGTATGCTGTCAGCTATTAAAACCTCACAGGCTTGTAAAAGTGTTGGGCGTCAGCCAACAAGCAGCACTACTCATAACCCTCCTTTAGTAAAGGTGATTTGTTGTTGTTGATTATCATAACTGAATAGAACCAAGGGATTTGGAGGCTCACTATAGCTTAATGCGCTTGACTTCTCTGTGGGTTCCATTTTGGCTTACTCTGGATTGAAAATTAGATTAGCGGTTTCCCAGCCAATGCATTCCTCTTGGGGGCCCTGTCCACACCAAACCTGGCTGAACACTCTTCTTTATGACTGACAGCCTGTAATCTAAAGAGCACAGGTCCAAAGCAATCTACAGTGTTGCTTTCCAGGCTGCATTGGCACTTTTCATCTTTGTATATCGAAACACGTAAGGCCTATCTTTCAAAATTTGGCAACCACTAATGTTCAGTATGCTCAAGTGAGGGATATCGCACATACATTCCCATGCAACTAAAGCTCTTCCACATCCCCTTATGGATTTGTTAAAAGATCTGTTATTTCACGTTCCCTTCTCCTCCGAACATTTAGGAAGCAAAAAGGACTTACATCACATTTGAGAGGCTGGCTCCAAATGAGGGATATTTGGGATACACACTATTATTCTGCTTTGTTTGTTTTTGATTCAAAACTTTAAAAAAAGAGCATTCAGACTCTCGGCGGGGGGGGGGGGAACCCCCACATAAGTTTCTTCAGATGCTGTAATCGATGTGGGGACAGAAAGCACGACCCACTTGCTGTTTCTTGTTTGTGTTTCTATGTTTAAGGATAATTTTTTTAATTATCTGTGTTCTTAAAAAAAAAAGGCAACTCAAACTACCCTAACTCCAAAAGAACTTGGTCATCACCCCAAGCCAATCTGAGGCACAGAAAAATGACCATACCTACATCTCCAAAATGCCTTGACACCAACCTCCACACCCAAAACACCCTTCTCTTTCCCTTCCTTGGCAAGGGACGGTGACTGGAGTAGAGGCAGGGGGCATGTGGAGAATGGAGAAAGGCTTGTCCCTTGCTTTGCTTCCTCATTCACTCACTAGCATGCCGATGAGTGGTGAACTGGGGTGCAAAAGTGTGGAGAACTATTGGATATGCAGGTCTCCTGAGAGCTGTTGACATTGACTTATTTTCTTTCCTAAGTTATACCGCTGACTTAGAGCAGTGGGTTTAGTTACTCTGTTGTCATTCAGAGGACCATTTCAGGGTTCTCCTGATCGCAATCCTTCCCCTGAACCTTCAGTCAGTGGATCAAGGACAAAGACCTATAACTGAAAAGATTGTAGAATTGTGGGGCTGTGACCATCTTGAGGCATTTCCAGCCCGTCTTGAATTCTGGTGCCTCAGGAATCACCTATGAGTGCCTATAATGAAAGCTGGCCTACAAGTTGTACCAGCCCTGAATTTTCCTGAAACTGAGCAATGGCATGAAAACCGTTACAGACAAGCAGGAAGATGTTTTTCTGTGGGGTTTTAAATCTGTAATTGTGCAATTTTAAATCACAGTGGGTGTGTTTGTGTGAGCTGTCCTTCACCTGAGGTAACTCTACTCACTTCAGGCTTTGATACTGGAAGTAAATTCAATTGGGTGAAAATAAATCAGAGAGAAGCATTCTGTAGGAGTGCTCAGCACAACCCGCTCATATGCCCCTCTATGCAGGGGCAACATTCAAAAGACCCAAACAAAGAAGAATTCACGACGTAAAAGGCTGGCAGACACTGTGACGTTTATCATAGGTAAGGGGCTGGCATTAAATAATGTTTGGGGGCAATAATAACTTTGTAATACTGATGTGCATTGGGAGCTGGACAAATTCATAATAATTATGAACTTCATCAACATCGGGTTTATTTTCCTTTAAAATTGTTTTAATCATCGCTGAGAGGCTCAGGAAGCAGTATAGGTTAGTATGCAAGTCAAGGATGTAAAATATTGATTTACTGGCAGTATATTTTCTGCACTGTGTTATTCCCACACACGGACCACACATGCATGCACTCTCGCTCTGCTGTGCAGTGAACAGATGGTTTCACTGAGCTGTTCACAATTACATCCGGATAGCTTTGCTTGAGAGCCTGTGGATGCTTGACTTGGGACTTATCAGAGTGTAAACTCAGCATGTAGTTTACCTCAGAAGCTTTCTGTTTCAATCCACTGTGCAGCATCTTAAGCTCTCACTTAGGTTAAATTTCACCTGTCATGATGATGACTAGCTCATTCATTTCTTTAGGGTCTTCCGGCTCTTCCTCACAACCCTCCTTAATCCTCTCTGAAATTTTTTTCATCAGCAGAATTTTCCACTTCATTATTCAAGCTCTCTTCCAGG